AGCAATTAATGACTTATTAAGAAAACTGAAAAAACAAAAAATATATAAATATAATTGAAAAAGGATAAATATAGTTTAAAATATAGATTTACATTGCTACAGACTATTTACTAAATTAGACTAATCGAATTAATTTTGGTCCTATGCCCATAATGTGAGCCAAAATTTTGAGATTATCCAAAAATTAACCAATCATATACCATGACGAACAGGATATGAAAAATATTTCGAAGGCCATTAAATGACGATGTGTATATCTAATAATACCCTTGCAGGAGTTGGTATTTTAGATAAGGCCAAATGCATAAGTATTTGTTACCATTTACAACAAAGATTATTACAAGCAACATCAATCTCTCTTGCCAACTCCAAATGAGAATCATATTATAATTTTGCATTATGGTGATTACTCTGCTTTGGAAATGGAAATTTTATTCTATTGTTACATGCGTTACATGCTCAAGAATTGAAAGAAGTATGGCAAAAAATACAAATTCATAAAAGAAATTGAAGAAAACCCAAAAGAACTAACTACCAATAAATTGAAAGAATCATCTGTTCAATTTAACTACACTTTTAGAATGAATGAAAATTGTGTCCAAAGAGATAACAAAGATGATCCAGTTTCTGCAACAATTAATAGTGACAAATCAGAAGTACAAAGTTGGGCTACCACCAAAATTATTTACACTGAAATAAATATTAAATTAAATAAAAATGCAGATGAAAAAGAGAATTATATAACCTACAATGATATAAATTACACTATTGAAGAATTTCTCCATTATATGAAATATAACATCAATCTTGCGAGTGTTTCTTTTTTCCTTGAACACAATAATATCCGTAAGTAGTTCAGGGCTTTATTGAAGATTTTTTTAACCAGAAAGTGAAGAAGCTCAATGAAATTTCTTTAATTAAGTTTTTAGACTTTTGTAAGATTAAACTTGCAAATAAAGGGATAAAATTAGTGTACAGAGATAAACTCTTAATACATCAGCTTTATAGTAATAAGTTAAAAACTAAGTAGAATAAAAAGTTTATGAACATACAATTAGAAGATGCTTTTAGAATATTTCAGGTATGGTCACTTAAGTCTAGCTTTTATGTTAAAATAGCATATAATATCCATGATTTTTTGCATAAGTTAGTAATTTCACAATATAATTTCTATTGCATAACTCAACACTAAATAACCAAGATTTGTTGTTTGCAATATATCATCGAATATCTTGTGTATTTAATTGGATCTTTGTGAGAATTTTCTTGTTTTTTATAATTTAAGGAGAATTTAGATGTTTGCAATATATCATCCAATACTCTTTAAAATTTCTATATAGATTTTAACTGATTGCAATATATATGAGAAGTTTTGGCAAAATACTTTAATTAAACTTTTGTAACCATTTTACTAATATTTATAACTTTCATAATCATGAATTTATAGAAACAAATCGAAGATGGTGACTACTTAATTTGTTATTACATAGAAGATACTACTTTTTGCAAAGGATTAAATTTGTATAAAAAATGTTGTTAATGCTTTTGAATATTATACTCGAATCATTTAAGCTTCGTTAAATAATATCACTGTGTTATATAAATAGCGCAGAAAATTTAATATTTGCAACTTAAAAATTCCCTGTTCCAAATTATAATTTAGTCTCGAAATATAAGTACTCTATAAGTTGTTAGTGATGCTAAATGTCACATATCAAAATTTAATTAAATTTTTAGGCCAGGTGATGATTATCATCACATGGTTTCGTCTAACAACTATAATCCATCTTAGACGAATTAGCAATTAATTGAGTTTTGCATAATCCAAGTGTTTAAATAAGAGTAGTTTGGTCTGATTCAACAAAAATACCATAATTTAAGCTTTGGTTAAGAATTTATTTTACTATCTAAGCAATCAGAGAATTTTTTGTTAGTATTTTCTTAAGTGTACTCAATAAAATAAGAAATTTGTTAACATCGTTATTTAAAGACCAATAAGATCACTCGATTTAGCAGACCCATGAGTAGGGTTGTAATAACTTACCTGTAACTTACATTGTAACTTACATTGTAAATTACATGACCCTATGTAAGTTACAAAATATATCATAGTAAAGCAGGCCGGCTTTGATATAAATGCCGGCCAGAATAATTTAGCCAGCATTAGGTTATTAAAAGATGAAATTTTTATTATACATAACTTAAAATATAACTTACATTTTACAGTAAGTTAAGTTATACAACCCTAGCCAAGGATCTTCAAACTTTGGCCCGCATTACGTGTATTTAGAGTTAAACACGTGATTGAGATGTGCAAATCAGATACTGACTGCTATTGGTTAAACTTTGTGTTACCGAAAATTTTTAAACGCGTGTAATCACAAATTGTTGATCTTAACTTCGAAAAACAAAATGCGAATAATCAAAAAAGTCAAAGTCGTATAGTTTTTGAAAATCGAACTAATCATAGTTCAAATTCTTCTGGAGATTATCTAAAAGAAGATGCATCACTTTACTTTAGGCAAAAGATAGATACAACATGGGGTCTTTTGGATTTCCTTCAATTTAGAAAAAAACAAAATTCATGGACAAAAAACAAAGTTAAAGAATTAGAGCTATTCAAGCAATGCCTTTTAGCTGAAACCACAAATATGAACTCAGCTATTGAAAAATTTATGCTTAAAAAATATAATGTAAGTCGCTCAAAGTGACTTGGCCTCACCTGTATTTCACAGGGTGTTGCAGGTCATAATTTTCTTAAATCTTGTCTCATCTGCGGATGTTGCAAATTTTTGCTTTCATTATTCCACTTGGCCTCATCTGTATTAATATACAGGGTGTTGCAAGTTGTTTTTTTTTGATTGCACAGGACTTTTCGGCTTGCAAATCAAATTTCTTTAACTAAGAGTGACTTTATTTTTTAGAATGAAAAAAATGGACCGCACATAAAGGGCATTTTTGAAGAACATCCGACAATTAAACTTTTTAACAATGAAAAGTCTCAAAATTTTAAGTTGCTTGTGTCTGCAAATGTGGGTATTTAAAAATATTATGTGGTTAATATTGTATAACACACATGATCTTAATCAATTGATAAAATTATTCAGTATGGTACAAGACAATGGGTACTCGAATCAGGAATCATTTACTTACCTTCATTACCATGGCTTAATGAGCTTCTCTCGACAAAAGATGCCATAGAGTTGAAAAATAATCCAAGTTTCGCACACCAACTACATGATAATTGGTGGTCACTTTATTTCGATAAAATTCAAGCAAAAAATAAGGACCTTATATTTAAAGATCAAGATCCATTCTCAATCTTCTGTCAAAGAATGTGTTTGCACTTGTAAGTGTATTTTCTTTAATGTTATAAATTTAAAAATATATACTTTAATAATTTATAATTTATAATTTTAATAGTTTAGAGTTGGTGGAAACTGGGATGTATGATGAACCTGATCTTTTACTTAATGAAGGAACTTGGCGACATGACACATATGATACATTAAAATATCTTCTCGACCCACTGATAAGCCAAAACAAAAGAAAAGATCATGTATTAAAGTGTAGACGCTATTGGTAAGTATTCCTTTATTGCATATTATTCTTTAACTAATTTTAAGATGTTTTAGGGCAGAAACAACCTTAGAAGCATCTTCAGAAAGAAAGAGAAAAGTACAAGTAATTGATTCATTCTTTAATTTTCATTATACAGCAATTCAATTCTAATCGAATATTTATTAACAATAATAGAAGAATAAAACTAGGGGACGGATGGTAGATTTTGTTCTTCGTCTCAGGAGCTTAGAAAACAAAAATCTTGAACTTTTTGTATGTGAAATTGCTGGCGGACCATACAATTTGAAATCAGATAAAATTTTATCTGATAAATGTAAAGTCTTTCGTGAACTTCGTGATATGTTGGCGGGAATAATTAGATATTTTATAATAAATTATAAAGACCGGTTTACTGATGATATTGTGAATATGCTTCATAAAATAAAAGTATATGCAGCTATTGGATTTGGTAAGTTTTGCAATCAATGAAAAACTCGAGAATTTGTTCGATTCGGGACCTAGTAAAATTGTGAAGGATTTTTTACATTATTGGAACGATCATGCACCAAAAACAGTAACTACGCCGAAAGAGAATTAATTTTAAAAAACAATAATAAAAGGTTTCAAATAATAAAAAAATGAGTCTTGGTTCTAAAAATTTTTTCAATCTCCTACGGCAATCAGAGGCCGTCGGAGATTGAACTGAGTTCGAATAATAGACCTATTTTACTGTAATTTATGTTCGATGAAATATTTTATCCAATGCTTTACTATGATCAGCCCACTATTTTTATATTTTATAACTACATATTTTATTACATCTACATATATCGCATCTGTATTTTATATTTCTCTAATAGCATATGGTATTTAAACTATCAAAAATATTTATTCGCTAATTAAGCTGGATCGCATTATTTAAGAATGAGCTAGTTAACAAAAAACGATTTTAACTTACTTTTTCTATAAGATCAGAAATGCTTGTCTGAGAACAATGCAATTTCGTGATGTCAACACAAGATATAGTGCGTGATTGTGTATATTTTCCAGATTCATTTTTAATTGTTCGTATACCATTCAACCAGGTTGCAATGAATATTAAATTAGATTCTTTAATTTCTGGATCTGATTCTTTAATTTCTTGATCTGATTCTTCTTTAGTTTCTTGATCTGATTCGTTAATTTCTTGTAAATTAATTAGTCTATCATATGGAATCCATTCAATTACCTTCTCATATTCTGTAGCTTTGATCTGGAATTCTCTGATGAAATTATCAATATCTTCGTTTCCACTTGTCCATTCTTGAATTGTTTTCCAAGGATCACAGGATTGACACCAAGCAGGCGAAGTGTTGTTATGTTTACAGCATGCACATTTTCCATTTGAAGCGCTTCTTTTAGTACTAAACTCATCCGGTATCACCATAATGTATTGATTTGTCGCAATATCTTTTGTAATTCCATATACAATATTCCCTTCAAACTGCATATAATTTGTAAGCTTGAGATTTTATGTGTTATTAGTATTATAGTTGTCATCTACTGAGGCTGAGGACAAACTGGACTTGTGTTAATACGCGATAGGCTTTATAAACATAGTCTAACTTACTTTTTCTATAAAAAAATCAGGTGCTTGAGAGCCATGTAGTACTTTGAGGTTAACACCATAAGATCCAATGCGAGAACGTGTGTATTCTAAAAGTTCACCCTTAATTATTCTTATACCATCTAGCCAGGTCGCCATAAATATCATTTCTGATTCATCTTCTTTGATCTTTTGTAAATTAATTAGTCTATTAAATGGAATCCATTCAATCATTTTTTCATATTCCGTAACTTTGATTTGAAATCCTTTTATATATTCACAAAATACTAAGACCTAAAAATTTAACCTAA